ACAGAGGCCTTGTATATATTGTACATAAAAGTAATAAATGTGTGTTGTAAATTTATGTAAATACAGACAGTGGACATATTAATACAGACTGACTGACAAATGAGACCCGACCTCTCGTCAGAGAGGGCGCCCCACATAGACAAGACAGTAACTTTCATTCAAAAGAAATATTGGGGCTCGACACCAAGACAGACAGACTAACCGACCGTCATTGCAACATGACTCTGACACAAGCATCAAATGACAGACCGGACCTCTCGTCAGAGAGGGCGCCCCACATGGACAGGACAGTAACTTTCATTTAAAAAGTAACATCTGGTCATGAGCCCTAGCCGGGGCTCAACACCAAGACAGACAAACTGACTGACCGTCAGTCGCAACATGACTTTGACGCTAGCATCAGTCAAAGCTACGCCTACATCGAATGAACACCGCAACTGCGAGTCTACTAGTAGCAAGCACCGGCAGCCGACTCCGCCAGCACTCTTCTGGCCAGCCAGCCACTCGGCCTCGCCGTCACTATCACCGGCTAGCCCGCTACTGCAAGAACTTCCTTCGCTCGGCACGCCGCCGGCTCGCAATCACCGGGCTGTTGCAAGGAAGAACGCCGTCACTAGCTCTGGCTAGCCCGCTACTGCAAGAGCTTCCTTCGCTCGGCACGCCGCCGGCTCGCAATCACCGGGCTGTTGCAAGGAAGAACGCCGTCACTTGCTCTGGCTTGCGCGCTACTGCAAGAGCTTCGCTCGGCACTCAATCACCGGGCTGCTGCAAGGAAGAACGCCGTCACCAGCTCTGGCTTGCCCGCTACTGCAAGACCTTCGCTCGGCACGCCGTTGGCTCCCAATCACCGGGCTGCCGCAAGAAAGAACGCCGTAACTAGCTCTGGCTAGCCCGCTATGAAGGGAGTTTTCGCCGGTATTCATCAGACACGTTCTGCTTCCCTGATCGCTTGTAATATTCATTCTAACAGCAATAAACATCTGTTATAGTTCTACGTGGTCTCTCCGCGCCATCGGATTCGACATCACACAGATCCATTCATACGTTGAATTATTCTTCAGTTAAAACACTAAAAATTATATTTAAAATAATGGTAAAATCACAAAGCGAAAGATGGATGTAAGAAAAATCAACACTGCCACTACGACAGCGCCTCTTTGTAGCCGCTAACCTTGAACCAAACCTACCCCGCAAAACTAGTTACTGAACTATTCTACCGCGATATATATTCTAATTATTTTTTATAAAAATGAGTTCCCACGCCGCTGGATGGTAAGGATGTTCATGAGTTGAGTGTATGTCGAGGACCAAGTGTATTTATACCTTCCTGCACAGGCCCGTTTCTGATTGAACGGTCATTTCGT